GAGAAGCAGTGTCTGCTCCCAAAAGGAAGGAAAATAATGGAGGGGAATATTTGCAAAAAGCTCAGTTAAGTAAATATTTTATGCCCAATAATGTTATGGCTTCTGAATGATGCATGTGAGAGAGTTGAAAGGAGGTGAGGCACAGAGTGAGGAGCGTGTGGTGAGCATGGAGGTGTCGGTATGGGGAGAACACAGTGCCCTGGCCAGTACCTCTCACCCTGGCAGGGCTGTGCCACTTCAGGAACTGCAGCTGCCTCGTTGCTTTGCATGGGAGCAAATCAGCCCTGCATGGGAGCAGGGACCAGGGATCAAAGAACAGGAAGACAGCAGGCAAAGGGATTGCCTTGGGCCAGAAGGAAGAGGCGGGCAGGGGAAGAGGAGGAAGGGCAGTCAGTGTGGTGGCCTGGGGGGAGGAGAGCAGGGCCAGCACAGAGTGGGGATGTTTCCCTGGGCAGAGGAATTCTCCTCCCAGCAGGCACAGGGTGAGCATCTGGCACAAGGGAAGCACAGAGAGGGGTAAAATACCATTAAGTGTAATAAGAAATGTACTTAATCAATGAGCTCTACAGCTGAGGATCAATGGGAGGCAGACACAGCCATTAGCTAAGAAAGCTGAGGAAGAGCCACAGGCTCAGATAGAGTGGTCAATGCCAGGATTAACTGAGCAGCAGAGGAAGGGTCCCAAGTGGAGCACAGAGCCAGGCTGTGCCCACAAGGCAGGACTGACCTGCTCTGCAGGTCTCAGACCCCGATAGGGAACAGAAAGAGGAGCCCAGGCCATGGGCTGCTGAGGAGTCTCATGCTGAGCCCTGGGAAGCACCATGGACCCCGGGCAGGACATGAGTATTCAGCACCAGGGAATGGGATGATGGGATGATGCCAGAGCAAAGAAGGGGCTTGGGCCCCTCATCATCCTCCAGGGACGTTACTTGGCTGCAGAGAGCAAGAGACAGGGGTTTACGCCCTTCTGTTGTCCTTTTGCCTTGAGTGCTGGCTGGACTGCTCCCCAAGGACCCTCACATGAAAGAAGCTCAAACTAGACAGCAAAGAGGTCACCCTCCCAAGAAGGGGTTGCACCAGCCCAGGTAAACAGAGCTGCTGCTGAGTCAGGGCTTGCCCAGGCCCCAACCTTGAGCGATGTCCCAGTGCTTCCCTGACCCAGCCTGGAGCCCGTCCGGGTGGTGCCAGCGTGTGGCTGAATCACCACACACAGGGCTTCCTCAGGAGAGAGGCTTGATTTTCAACCCATGAGCAAATTTAGCACTGGGGAAGGCAGACAGTGAGTGGGCACAACCTCCGGGGCTCTGACAGTGCTGCTGCTGAGACACTCCCCGGGCTCCATCAGACCCCCAGCTCCTCCAGCCAGCCTGACCCTGGTGCTGAACTCCAGCTCTGTGCTCCAAGGCTGTCACTCTCAATCCTGACCCCTGTTAGTCCCTTCCCACACTCGCCAAAACTTGACGGCCAGAGCCCGATTGGCCCAGAGCCAGCAGGGAGGAGCGGCGTGAGGAGACTTCGGGGACCAGGTGCCGACGTAGAGACTGCTCAGAGCGTTCCAGCCCGGGGCTGTGCTCGAGGCAGAGCTACCGTGCATGCCCGGGAGGGGATGGAAAGCGGCTCTCCCCCGGAGTCCCTCCCCGGGGTGGGTTCCCTTGTCCCGCCGGGGCTGAAATCCCATCCCCGATCCCGGGAGATGCTCCCGGCGCGCGGGGCTCCATCCCCGATCCCCGATCCCGGGAGATGTTCCCGGCGCGCGGGGCTCCATCCCCGATCCCCGATCCCGGGAGTTGCTCCCGGCGCGCGGGGCTCCATCCCCGATCCCGATCCCGATCCCGATCCCGGGTCCCCCCCGGTCCCCCCGCCGCGGCCGCACAGCGCCACCTGGCGGCCGGGCCGGCGCACGGACGCGCTGAGGATGGGGGGGTCCCGGGGGTCCCTCCCGGGGGTCCCTCCCGGGGGTCCCTCCGAGCCCCCCCGCGCTCGGCGGCACCGCGGCTCCGGCCCGTGGCAGGTACCACGCAGAGCGTCACGGCCCCCCAGGTCCCGCCCGGCTCTTTGCTGCAGGGGCTCAAGGAAACGGGAGATTTGGGGGGGTCTCTGCAGCCACCCCCGCGCTGGTGAGTGGGTCCAGCTCCACGGCCAGACCTGCACGGACACCGCACTCCCTCTTCGGCTCCCGCAGATCCAGGACTCTCGGGAGCAACAAGGGAGCAGTTTCCCGGGGGTAAGACCCAAACTCTTGCCGGCCGGTACCGGCATCCACGTCCTGCCCAAGGAGCACACCCCCTGCGGCACTCAAAGCCTCTTCTCCCACCTCCTTCCTCTCTTCTAACCTTTCCAAGCTGCTTGGCTGGAGCACCTTCCTCCCTCCATCTGCTTCAGGGCTCGGGCCAAGTCCGGGGCTGCTTCTGGTTCCATCCAATGCCCTGTCAGTGCTGCCCTGCTCCTGACCTCGGGGCTGTTACGATACCCGTCACTCCACGCAGCTGTCCCAGGTGCATCCCATCCCCAGCAGCTCCACGTACCTCCCCCACCGTCACCCCAGACCCCCCAGGTGCAGCGCTCCTGTTCTGCTCAAGGGGCAGCTTTAACCACAAGGTCCTGGCACAGGAGGTTTATCCCTTTGAAAATGAAAAAATAAAGAAGGAAACCTGCCCAGCCCCTGCCTGCCCAAACTGCTCCCCGGCACTTCCCTGCACTGCCCACGTGTCCACCCGCCCCAGGGAGCTGTGTGTTTGCCCGTGGGGTGCTGAGCACATCACTTTTTCCAAAGGCTGGAATCAGGCTGGGCCCCCGAGTGGGGCACTTCCACTGGTGGGTAACTTCTCTGGGCTCGTGGTCTCTATTTTTTAGCCCCTTCATCAGTCTTCATGGAGTTAATTGGGGCACAAGTGCAGGATGGACAGTGCCAGCCCCAATGCGCTTAGCAGGGACCATGGTCCCCACTGAGCTGCTCAGGCTGATACCTGGTGATGCCCTCAGAGTTCATGCCTGTTCTCAGGAGTGTTTCCAAGGATGCAGGATCACTGCTGTCAGTATGGAGCCCGTGCTCTGGAGGATGCTGAGCAGGGACATGGTGGTCCCAGAGCAGCCCCAGCCCCTCGGGCACATCCGCACACGGAAGGAGCTCCTGGGGCATCCTTAGTGCCAAATCAGCCGTTTTGGGTGGGACTGGCAGTGTCCCCAGGCAGCACGGCCAAAGGTGATGTTCTTTATCTGTGCCTTGTGCTCCTCTGATACCCAATATCAAAATGTGCTTTGAAACACTCCTGATATCAAATATTCCTTGGAGATTAGTGCAGTGCTTCCTTCTAGCTCATCCCTTCCCTCCCAGCAGAGCCGATGAACACGATACGTTATCAGGACCTTCCCGCGCTGTTAGCAGTGGCACAGGAACTTGGTGACCCACCTTGGAACAACATACTGAATATATAGGAATTTCCATGAGCTTAGTAAATGATAATATCTTTATCATGTGAGCCCTTTAAACCCTCAGTTCTGCCAGGAGCCTCTGTCCTCGATGAAGGACAATATCGGACCCAGGGCACTGATAAAAAATAGTTCCTTGAGTAAACAGCAGCGTCAGGCTGGAAAGAGGAGTGCTGGGCTGGCAGAGAAAGGTGCTGGACTGGCACAGAGGGGTGCTGGGCTGGCAGAGAAAGGTGCTGGGCTGCCATCAGTCCAACACTGATGCCCTCTGTTAGCAGAAGGGTTTGGCTCAGGGCTCGAGGCACAGGGTAGGATCCATCCCAGCATTTCCACTGCCTGCAAACAGAATGTCCAAGGCTGCACTCCCAGCTGGTGTTTGCCATGAGGTCCCTGGTGGGAATGCTTGGACCACTCACAGTGCCCTTGAAATATTATCCTGTGTCACACCGGGGAAACACACACACAGGCGAAGAGATGCTGATGCACCCTGAGGAATTGGTCCAGATGGGAACACTCGGGATGCTCAGGGCTACAAAGAGACTGTCATTCATCCAGGAAGGACGAACCCATGTGCCTGAGACTCCTCTGCCCAGCTCAGCCTTGGAGAAAAACACCCAGAAATGACCCCACCCAGTGCTGGGGAAACTGGTGGAGATGGCTCTGCTTGGCGAGGAGGGGATGCAAAGCACCCAGGAATAAATCTGGACCTGAGTAAAGGGACATCAGCAAAGACATAAAGGTTGGGAGTTCAGAGCCCAGGGAACTAAGGCAACCTCTGTTACGTAACTCTACAAATGCCTTAAACTCAGTTTTGCTGAGAAATGAGTCGGCAGCAACGATTAAACCCCAGAGAAGCCATAAACCAGCAGATATTGATAACATGGGGTGCTGATAGGGTGAAGCTCAGCAGTTTGTAAGTGGATGAGGGTCATCCACGGCGAGCAACAGAGCCCGGGCAGTGGGAGCTGGGCTGATGGGATGCAGGGGCTTCAGAGCTGGGCTCACCCTCTGGAGCATCCCTGGGGGTTGATGCATGGCCGGGATCCAGGGAAGATCCTCATTCCCCAGTGTTCAGCTCCACAAAGCCACACTGGAGAACCCTGGGTAAATCCAAGCTCCTCCCTGATCCTCTGAGCCCCCATCCTGAGGTGGATGAGCAGCCCTGGGGGGGTGAGTCGCCTTGTGAGGCCAAACTGCTGAGCACAGGGCAGGGCACCGAGAGCCAGGAGTGGGGAAAGGACACCACAGTGGGCTGAGAGAGATGGTGGTGGGGACCTGGGGGGCTGTGCAGGCCAGTTCCCAGCCTCCCATCACACCAACAATCCTTCCCATTCATGCACACCAACACAGCACCCACTGCCTCTGATGGAAGAGGCAGATTTGGCATTTGACCCATCAGGAAATTTAAGCCGATCTACTGCAGTGAGACACAACCAGAGGCTCTGATACGAAGTGCTGGCTGAAGCCATGCACCCCATCAGCAACTGCAAGATTAGATAAGGACTGAACTTAGTCCCATCCCACACATATTAATGTGAGCTCTCCAGACATCTGGGCTATTCCCGTTCAAGGGAAGATGCTGCCATCACTGGGGCTGCTGTTTGCTGCCCTGTCCTTAGCAAGATGCGTCCCCCTGCAGCGGGCACCCAACCGCAGCAAACTCCTCCTCGTGTCCTTTGATGGTTTTCGGTGGAACTACGACCAGGACGTGGACACCCCCAACCTGGACACTATGGCTGCAGAAGGGGTGAAGGCCAAGTACATGACTCCTGCCTTCATCACCCTCACCAGCCCATGCCACTTCACGCTGCTGACCGGTGAGTAGCCCAGCCAGAGGAGCTGCAAGGAGGGCTGGGGAAGGGCAAAGTCAAGGCTTATGCATCAGTGAAGGACACGCTGTCAGGAGCTCCAAACCCAGCAGCACACAGAGCTTTAGAGCAGAGAAAAGGCAAGGGCTGCGAAAATGGTACATTTAAATTAGATAGGAGGAAGAAATTCTTCCCTGTGAGGGTGGTGAGGCCCTATGGCAGCTGTGGCTGTCCCATCCCTGGGAGTGTTCAAGGCCAGGTTGAATGAGACTTGGAGCAGCCTGGTCTAGTGGAAGGGAGGTGGAATCGGATGGTTTTTAAGGTCCCTCCCAACTCAAACCACTCTGGGATTCCATGAACTGAACCTGTATTTATCAAAGGTAAATAGTGCCAGAGCAACCTGATAGCCTCCTTTGGTAAGATAAATTATTTTTTAAACAAGGGAGATGCTCTAAATTTAATCTCTCTGGACTTCAGTAATGCATTTGATACAGTGCCACATGGGAAATCATTAGTTAAGACAGAGAAGATGAAGATTAGTACAAAATCTGTAACGTGGGGAACTGAGGGGCTACGGGAAGAGGATGCAGGGGATGCTGAGAGGAGACTGTCAAGCTGGAGGGAGGGCACCAGGGGAATTCCTGAAGAATCGATTTTGGAGCCAATCTTATTTAAGATTTTAATTAATAACCTTGGCATAAAAGAGTGGAGCATGCTAATGAAAACTGCTGATAGGCAAAGGCAGGGAGGCAGCGTCAACACGAGGGAGGACGGGGACATCACGCAGAGGGGACTGCGCAGTCCTTGGCACCAGTATAAAAAAATTGCACAAAATATAAGAGTCAAAGTGCAAATCTCTCCTCTCTGATGGGAACTTCTCCTGCTCACTGACCGCGTGGGTTTAGGTAAACACGGGATAACAGAACCTGCCCGTGCTGAGAGGGCAGGAGAAAATGCAGGTGGCACCGGTGCCTGGCTTGGTCCAGGTGAGACCCACCAGATACCAACCCATGCACATGGGAGGTGGCATTCCCTCAGCATCTCCTTCCCTGCCCCAGGACCCCACTTTGTATGAGGCGGTGGGAGGAAGGGGCAAAGGGAGAGGTGGGAGGGGGAGGCCGAAGGTCCCCACTGACCCAAGGCAACCCATCACCCAGCACAGGGGCGAGGCCTGCCCAGCACAGCCTGGCTCACCCCCTGCCCCTCGTCTGTCCCACAGGGCGATACCTGGAGAACCACGGGGTGGTCCACAACATGTGGTTCAACACCACCACGGGTGTGAAGCTGCCCTACTACACCACACAAGGCATAAGCAGCTGGTGGGACAACGGCAGCCTGCCCATCTGGATCACTGCCCAGAGACAGGCAAGTGAGGCACCTCCTCACACACACCGACCCTGCACAGACCCACTCCACCTGCCATCCTGCAGGAAAAGCTACAGGCAAGCCATTATCCCTGGTGGTTGTGAGTTCCCAGCCTCCCTGAGAATGTCAGGCTAATTAGACCAGCAAAAAACGGAAATCTCCAGACACTGGCAGGAATAATTATGATCGTTCTATTAAAAATAGCAAAAAATAATAGATGCATTTCATCTTTATTAAGACATTAATGAAACAGGTTATACTGTTCCTGTTTAAAGAAGCCTCAGCCCCAGTTCCTCAGGGAACATCCTGAGTCCAGGGGTTCCATACACCTCAGGGCACACCCAGGGCAGGTGGGTGGCAGCCCTGGGGGCCAGTCCCCTCTTCCCTGGGGCCTGCAGCAAACCCAGCAGGCTTTGAATCTGGCTTTAAGACAGGATCTGAGACCTGGCCCAAGACATATACCTTTTGCCCGTATTTACCTGCCAAAATGCCTCCTCTGATTTCAACAAAACACAACTTAATGTCTTGATGATCAAGAACCAGAGAGCCCATGCAAGCTGTAAATGGGTCACTGATTCCAAAGTTCTAACTGGTGTTACTAACACAGTGAGAAAACCAGTGTGACAGGGCAGTGTTTTCAGTTAATCACTTTTAATTGGCAATGAGCAAAAAAATCTCATTAGGAGGTAGCTGCACTGACAGATGGAGGGACACTGCCAAGCAAGTTCAGGGGAGTTTATGGAGTGTCTCCACTCACAGGGTTTGAAGACAGGCTCTATCTACTTCCCTGGAGGAAAAGCAAAATACCAAGGGGAAGAAGTGAACAAGAAGTTGGTGGAGCCTGCCATATTCAGCTACAGCAACGAAACCAACTGGAGGCAGAACATTGACACGGTCATGGAATGGTTCACAGTGGACAACCTCGACTTCATCGCACTCTACTTCGGAGAGCCAGACTCCTCAGGACACAAGTTTGGCCCTGAATCCACAGAGAGGAAAAACATGATCGAGCAGGTGGACAGAACTGTCGGTTACTTGAGGCAGCGTATCCGGGAAAGTGACCTGGAGTCAAACCTCAACCTCATCATCACGTCTGACCACGGCATGGACACCGTCATAAAGACCAACGAGATTCTTATCCGGACCATAAACAACTTCACATTCCAAGACATCGACTTTGAACTCTTAGATTACGGACCAAATGGACTCCTGGTGCCAAAGGAGGGGAGATTAGAGTATGTGTACTCAGTCCTGAAAAACGCCCACCCGAACCTGCACGTGTACAAGAAAGAAGAGTTTCCAAAGAAATTCCACTATGCCAACCACCCTCGGATCACCCCACTCGTGTTGTACAGCGATCCAGGATATGTGATCCATGGGGTAAGGTGTATGCGCAGCCATATTCTACTGTCCTTTGGGATGAGCCTCTCTCCTCCTCTTCCTCTCACAGCACCCCAGCACTCACCCAGCTTTAGGCCTTTGTGCTGATTGGTCTCCCTAAAAACAGATTGAAATTCAAGCTCTTTGTGTAAAGATCTTCTCTGCTGTTGAGAAGATAAAATGTCCAGAAGCCTTGGGGTAGGACTTGCATGAATGCAAATCTCTGTGTCAGGATCCTCTCCTAGCCTGGCATGAAGGGAAGGTCCAGTGTTAAGGCCAGCAGGCAGCTTCCCATTGGAAGCTCCTTAGTACAACAAAATTTGGGTGTGCTGATGTTTAGGGAGGCAACTTGCAGGATGTAATTGCTTGAGAGGGGTGTCTGAGGGCACCTCCAGCTGCTGCAGAGTATAACACTAATAGATCAGCTTCCAAAACCAAAAGGAACCAATCAGACCATCAAACCCTGCAGGAGCAGAACGGTGTGTGCGAGGCAGGAGACACGGGGGCACCCAGCAGTGCTGCTGCCCCTGGGGCCGTGCTGGGGGTGGAGGGGTTGGGGTGCTCACATCCTCACTCTCCCCTCCAGAGGATCAAGGTCCAGTTCAATAAAGGGGAACATGGTTTCGACAACGAGGACATGAACATGAAAACCATCTTCCGTGCCGTGGGACCGGCCTTTAAGAAGGGGCTGGTGGTGGAGCCCTTCGAGAGCGTCAACGTCTACGCCCTCCTCTGCGAGCTGCTGGGCATCACCCCTGAGCCCCACGACGGCTCCCTGGAGGTCACCAAGCCCATGCTGCGAGGGTCGGAGGACACTGGGAGCGAAGGTGGGCACCGGGAATAGCAGCAGGCACCAGGAGTGTCAGTGGGCACCAGGAACAGCAACAGACACCGGGAGTGGCAATGGGCAGCGGGGGTGGTGGCAGGCACTGGGAGCATCAGTGAGCACCGGGAGCGGGCACTGGGAGCAGCGGCAGGCACCGGGAGCTCACACCGGGAGCGGGACTGGGCACCGAGCACCGGGAGCGGGACTGGGAGCTCACACCGGGAGCGGGACTGGGCACCGGGCACCGGGAGCGGGACTGGGAGCTCACCCCGGAGCGACACCGGGCACCGGGCACCGGGAGCGGGACTGGGAGCTCACACCGGGAGCGGCACCGGGCACCGGGAGCGGCTCCGGGAGCGGCTCCGCCGGGATTCCCGCGGGAACAGCGACACCTGGCGGTCGCCGCCGCTCCCGCCGCCGCCCGGCGGCTCCGGGCACCGGCCCGTGCCCCTCCCTCCCTCCGCCGCCCCCTCCGCCGCTGGGGCCCCCCGGGCTCGGTAACCGGGCAGGGGTCACCGTGTCCCCGGTACCGGGACGGGGATGCTGCCCCCGGGGCAGGGCTGGCACTGACCCCCCTCTCGGCCCTGCAGGTTCGGGTGCTCCTCTCCCTCCTGCCAAGAACCTGCCGCTGATGCTGGGACTTGCTCTCGTTCTGGGATGCTGGGGAGGAGTTTTCTAACCCCCATCAGGTAACTGACCCCAAGGCCCCCTGGAAGGACTCCTACTCGGGCAGACGCGGGGTCTCCCCGGGCACTGTGTGTCTGTGGAACTGCTGGCCACAGTGCTGGGCTGGCCATGGCACCAGCCCGGCTCTAGTCAAGGCAGCCACCTGGCCTGGGAGCCTCAGAGGCATCCCAAAGTCAATCAGCGCTTCCAGCCTCTGCTCCAAGAGCCCTGGTCACCCTCAGCATTGTCCTACCTGTCTTTCTGTCCCTTATGGCTGTGGACAAAAATGGGAAATGCCACCTATGCACTCCTGAGCTCCAAACCCACAGCCAGGATGGGCCTGCTCGCACTGCACCATGGCAGCACTCCTGAGACCTGCCCCATCTGCAGCTGAGTTACCTCTTGGGAGCTCTGGGAGGGATGGTGATGTACCCTGGAGAGACAGGGAATGTGGCCGTGCCAGGGCCAGGACCCCCCCCAGCTCACAGCAAACTCCCAGCCCTGCAACTGCCAAACCCCAGAGCCGTGCAGAGCCTGTTCAGTTGTGCCAGATTCACGGGACCCAGCAGGGCTGAGGCAAAAGGCCTTCATACAAATCCAAACTTCCCTCTGCAGGAAGCAGCCCAGGATCCCTCAGCCAGGCTGCGGCTTAGGGGACAGCATGACACCCCCATCCCACAGGCCCAGTTCTGGCCCTTCCAGCAGGGCATTCCAGCAGCCCCAGACCCACCCCAGATGCTGCGGTGCCTTTCCCCAACCCTGTGCCTCATCTCAGGGGCTCGATAAACATCTGTTGCCATAGAGACTCACTCACTGTATCAGCTTTACCCAACGAGATGAAACAAGAGCCGCACCCTCAGAAAAACAGGAAGAAAATGTTTGGCTTGAAGCCGTGCTGGGGTGGGGGTCAGGGCGGCAGCAACAGCGGGAGGCTCTGAAAGGGGAGCGTGGCCAGTGCTGTGCACACCGTTGACGTTGATATTAATGACAACAGTGCACAGAAACCTTCCCAGCTTTCCTGCTGGTGACCTTGGGACTTTCTGTGCAGGTCAGCACATCCATGCCCATTTTACAGGAGGAGGCAGCCAGCTCCATTGGGAAGTTAGTATCCTGGAGATCCCAGCAGAGTCTGCAGAGCTCAGAATCCAGTGGTGCCAGGCTCCATATGCCCCCATGCCAGTAGTCCTCAGGGTGCTCCAGTGGGTGTGGAGTAGGATCACAGACTCGTGGAATGGTTTGGGTTGGAATGGACCTTAAAGCTCATCTCATTTTAAGTCCCCTTTCCACTACACCAGGCTGCTTCAAGCCCCATCCAACCCGGCCTTGGACACTTTTAGGGATGGGGCAGCCACAGCTTCTCTGGGCAACCTGTGCCGGGGCCTCACCACCCTCCCAGGAGAGAATTTCCTCCTAACTGCGGTGAGGAAGGGACTGTCCTGGAGGTACGCTGAACCCTGCCATACCCCTGCAGGAAGGTTTCCATTGCTCCTGAAATCACAGGGTTTGCCATGGGACACACCTCGGTGTGGCTGTTTTCACGTGGAGTGGCAGGACATAAAACACTGGACACAGTACTTGGTCTTGATGCATTTCCAGCACGGAGCATCGTTCGATCTCTGTGCCTCTGAGACCCGGCCCTGCTCCTCCGTCCCCCCTGCCTCTCTCCCGGTGCCTTGCCGATGTCCGGGTGTCCCGGTGTCCCGGTGCAGTACCGGCAGCCGGCGGCCGGGGGCTTCCGAGCTGCGCTCACAGCCCGGCATTCCCGGGATCCCGGCACTGGCGGTGGGAGCTTCTCACGGTAAACCCCCCGCTCAGAGCATCTCCCAAAACCCGTGGTGCCCGCAGTCACCAGCCGCTCGCCCAGCGCCGCCCGCTGCCCCGGGGCCATCAATCCCCCGGAGAGGGACCCGCTCCTTGGTCCTGCGGGACAAAGCCTGGGAACCATCTCCGGCAGCCGCCGAGCCCGGGGCGCTCCCCAACACCCACCACAACGCACAGGGATGCTCCAAGTGATGCCCTGGAGATCCATGTCACACACTGCAATCTCCTGGTCCCCTCCTCCCCCCGACAAAATGCTCCAGGATGAGGAATGCTCCAATGTCCCAGGCCAGATGGGTGCAAGGAGGTTTAACCCCACGGACGCACTGAGCTGTGACAGCCCAAACTGGCTGCTGCCCCTCTGCTCTGCAGCCCAGAAGCCACCTCTAGCCCAGCCTCTCCCCAGGAAAATCCAAACCCGTCAAATTTTGCATGTCCTTTGAGTCTTTGCCAACCTTTCCCACTGCTCCTCACACCTTGTGCACTGGTACCGTGGGACATTTCCACCAAACATTTCCCAATGACAAAGCTCAAAGTCCAGCCTGGCCTTGTCCGGACACAGCCACTGCCTGATCCCCACATCTCTCCCCGCCCTTCCATTCCCACATAATTCATTCCCCATTGCCCCCCTCTCCGGGCTGGGGGTCACACGGCAGGGAGAGCCCTGCTGTGTATTGCATCCCAATTTGCCATGCATTTCCACACCATTTGCTTCCCTTTCTTTTTCCTGCACTGGGAAGCTGCTCACTGCCCAGGGGTCCCAAGTGCTTCAGGATGGGAAGATAACAACAAACATATTTATTTATGGAACACAGTGTGCGGGGACACTGCTGCCTCCCAAAATGCCCGGTCTGGGGGTGGCACGTGCCCCTATGATTCCCACATGTGACCAGGGACCACCTCATCCTGGAAGCCGCTCAGCTCCTTACCCAGCTGTGGTACTCAAATGATATGCAGATCTCTGTGCTTTAATTGGCCAATGCCTTGGGAAAACAGCCACCATTTGCCCACAACAAACATGGCCACCGTGGCCCAGTCCAGGGAGCAGCACAGCCCTTCTCCCTTCAACAGGCAAAGGGGACTTGGCTCCCCGTCCCTTCCTCTGACAGCAAACCCCAGCCCTCACTACCTAAATAACGCAGGAAGCACAGCATTCCTGGGATGTCTGGCATACTTGGGAAAAGCTACAAAATCATGTTCCACCAGATTAGTTCAGGGGTCTGACTCTCATTTTTAAGATGCCAAAGGTTTTCTTGGTGGTTAGTGAGTTTTTTGGCCCCTCTGTCACTTTGCTTGGTGGGAACACGAGGCCAAGCTATTCAGTGTGTGTTCCTGGGTTTCTCTGGGAAGGTGACGCCTCTCTCAGGGATCAGAAACACTGAACTCAGCCTAAAGGCACTTGCAGGTGGAGCCGCAACTTCGGCAGCAGCTGGGGGAGCATCTCCTCACGCCCCAGTCAGCCCCCCAAGCAGTGCAGCTCCTGTGGTAGCTCCAGCCAGTGATGCCCAGGGAAGCTCCGTCACTGGGATGGTCCCCTCTGGCTGACCGAGTGACCCACTCTGCCAGGGGTATAAAGCAAGGAGCCCACAGTAGCCCAGGGTTGCCCAGGACCAGTTCCCAGTAAACCCCTGGGGACAGAAAGGAGATTTCCAGCCCAGGAAACAGCACAGCCCTTTTCACCCTCAGCTCCCCATCAGTGCAGAGACAGGAACTAGACATGTGTGGTGTGGGGGCTACACAGAATTAGACACTGTGCAGGGCTGGCCATGAGGGACCAGGGACAAAGCTGTGAGCACAGCCCCCCAAACACTGATCACGTGGTCCACAAAGACTCCTAAATACCAAGGACTGCTCCCACTTCCGACTTCCAGCCCCTCACCAGCTCAGCGAGCAGCAGACGGAGCACCTCTGCTCACGCCAGCCTTCCCTTCCTCACCCTGGGAGGGGAGAGAACAGCAACCCTACCCCTGTGTCCTCATGGGGAGCACAGGGACTCCAGCACAGAGGGACAGCTGGGAGGGGAGCCCACCCAGCATCACCTGAACTGGGGTTCATTCCCAACAGTGTTCATTTCTCAGAGCCAAATCCCCGCAGCCAGGAGGGCCCCACATGCTCCTCATCCCTTGAGCAGCGCCCACGCCGCCGTGATGCCAGAATGTCCGTGCACAGCTCAGGCACACAAGGATGGGAGGTCACACAGGGCTTTTTCCTAAAATCTAAGAGGTGCCGCACACAAAGAGCCGAGCTGGTGGAAGGTAAATGCACTCAAAAGAAAGAAAAAGTGCGTTGCTGTGTTACAATTCTGTGTCACCCTCGGCTAAAACAATGCTCCTACAGCTCTCCTGGTCAGTGAACGGCCACGGTAATTGTCAAAGAAAACAACGAAAGGTGATAGTGCTCGACCCAGGACAACCCCCGGCATCGACCCAGCACCCCAGGCACACCGCATCCTGCAGCCCCCGGGTCACCTCCACTCCCTAATGAAGCGGCTGGTTTCCCCTTCCCTCATGCGGGGGGTCCACTGTGGTGACATTCCCCCCGCAGCGGGGACAGCCCAGCACGCCCGCTGCAGCTCTAAACGCTTTTCTAAACCCAGCATCGCTAAATCCAGCACCACTAAACCCGGCATCGCTAAGCCCGGCATCGCTAAGCCCGGCATCGCTAAGCCCGGCATCGATGCTAAACCCGGCATCGCTAAACCCGGCATCGCTAAACCCGGCATCGCTAAACCCGGCATCGCTAAACCCGGCATCGCTTACCGGAGACGGCAGTGCCCGGGGTGCGGACGAGGCCCCGCGCAGGACACCCCATGGCCCGTCCGGCTCCTGCTCAGTCCCTGCACGCCGCGGGCACCCAGGCGCCGGGGCGAGGGCAATTCATATCCCTGCGGCTCCCGCACGGTTAACGGCAGGCTCCGGGCCCGCGGAGGAGAACTCCCTGAGGTGCTGACTCATCTTCTTCCATGCCTGTAAAGCACCATATTTCATCCTTCCACGCCCACAGCGCACAACCGCCGTGCAGCAGCTCCTCACGCCGCCCCGCACGCCCCGGTGCGCGCGGTGCCGGCGCGGTCGGTGCTGCCGCACCCCCGGTAGCGCGGCTCGGGAGGGACCGTGGGCCGGGCGGGACCGGGCTGCGAGCCGGCGCCGCGCGAGGGTCATTAACACAACCGCCCCCACCCAGGGAAAGCCTTTATTCTATTATAATCAACTCCGGCAGAACGAAAACGTGTCGGCGCTGCTGCCGCCTGCTCCGGCCCGGCGGGGACCGGTGGGGGCTGCCCCGGCCCCGGGATGCTTTGTCCCCAGGAGGGACCCCGGCTGCCCGGGCGGGGGACTCGGAGCCCGTGTCCGCGCAGGATGGACCCCTCGTGGGGTCGGACCGGAGGGACACCCCCGTGGGCCGGGCCGGGGGACCCCCCCCCGCGCTGCCCGGGGGAACAAAGCCCCGGGCCGGGCTGCCCCATTGTCCCCGCTCCGGCCGGGCAGCGGCCGCCCCGCGCGGGAGGAAGAGGAGGGGTCGCCCGCAGACAATGCCTCCCCCCACCCCCCACGCCGGATCGCCCCGCCCCCCGCTCCCCATTGGCCGGTCGGGAATTTGGGGACCCCCCCGCCCCTCCGCCGTATTGTGCCGGGGGGCGCGCGTGGATGTGGGGGGGTGAGAGTGCGCGCGGCCGCCGTCGGGGGCGCGCCCGGGGGCTCCCCTTGTGTGTGCGTGTGTGTGTGCGTGTGTGTGCGCGGGGCCGGGGCCATGGAGGAGCTGAGCAGCGTGGGAGAGCAGGTCTTCGCCGCCGAGTGCATCCTCAGCAAGCGGCTCCGCAAGGTGGGACCCGCCGTCCCCGCCGCCCCCCTCCGCACCCCCGCACCCCCCGCCGCCGGTAACGCGCCTCTCCCCGTCTCTCTTCGCAGGGCAAGCTGGAGTACCTGGTCAAGTGGCGAGGCTGGTCCTCCAAGTGAGCGGGGCGGTGCGGGGCGCGGGGCTGCGCGGTGCGGGGCGGATCGCGGAACCATGCGGTGCAGAGCGGGGTGCGGGGCGGGGCGCGGGTGCCGCCCGCCCGGCCGCTTTTGTTCGGGTCGCGCCGCTCCTTTTGTTTACAAATAAGCGCGGCCGGGCCCGGCCCTCCCCGCTGCCGCGTGGGGCTCCGCTCCCACCCCCGGGCCGGGCCAGCCTTCCCCAGAGCCGCCGCACCCCCCGGCCTCGCGCCCCTCGCCCGCCCTGCCGAAACCGGAGCTCCCCCGGGATGCTCGGGGCTCGGCTCGCCCCGCGGCGGCGTGGCTGCCCCCTTCCCGATCTCCCTCCCCCGGCCCCTCTCCCCCTCCCGCCCCCGGCTGTGCCCGTCCCCGGTGCGGGGATGCCCCGGTTCAGGCCGGGCCCGGTTGTCCTTGGATGAACCCCCCGGTGCTGGGCCGGTACCGGGGATGGCGTGGGGGGGTCGCCCCCCTGCTCTGGCACAGTCCGTGTCCTCTGTTTCAGACACAACAGCTGGGAGCCCGAAGAGAACATCCTGGACCCCCGGCTGCTCCTGGCTTTCCAAAAGAAGTGAGCAAACTCTAAATATTTCTAAGTAAACTATAAAGTTAATTAACTTCTAATTGGCTGCGCGTGCGGTGGAAGTTGTGGAAACAACAGCCTGAGCTGGCTGGGCCCTTTGTGGCTGGGCCCTTTTGTTGGTCCCTGGAGTCACAGGCCAGGTCCACCTGGGATGGCTCTGCCCAGGCCGGACAAACGCCGAGGGTTCGTGGCCCAGCTGTGCTCTGGGTGCAGCAGCAGCACTTGGCACAGACCTGGGGCTCCCCGTCCAGCAGCCACAGACCCCCGAAGGGAGACAGTGCCTGGGCTTGGAAGGCTGAAACAAACTTCTGGAGGGTGAAGCTCTGGGAGGGTGAGGGAGTAACAGAGAAAATCACAGAATCAAAGGATGATTTGGACTGGGAGAAACTTTAAAGCTCATCTCGTTCCACTCCCTGCCATGGGCAGAGACACCTTCCACTAGCCCAGGTTGCTCCAAGCCCTGTCCAACTTGGTCTTGGACACTTCCAGGGATGGGGCAGCCACAGCTTCTCTGGGCAACCCATGCCAGGGCCTCCCCACCCTCCCAGGGAAGGATTTCTTTCCAGTATCCCATCTAACCTGCCCTCTGGCCGTGGGAGGCCATTCCCCCTTGTCCTGTCATTCCAGGCCCTTGTCCAAAGTCCCTCTCCAGCTCTCTTGGAGCCTCTTTAGGTACTCAGAGGTGCTCTGAGGTCTTCCTAGAGCCTTCTCCAGGGTGAACAACCTGGATGGCTGAACAAAATGGTGTCTGTCCTCTGTCAGGGCCGTGGCTCCTGCCCAGAACCAAGCTGGGAACAGCGATTGTTCCACAGCCTTCGTGTCCCAGGAATCACACACGGAGGAGAAAGAATAGCTGGCTATGGCAGACACAGAGCTGCCAAGTATTTTGGCTCCATAATTATAAAAATCATAAAAGTTTATTATAGGATTCAATTGTAACTGGTTTCTGGATTCCATTTTTTCAAGATTAGGATCTGGTGGTGAGTGCAGACAGGACTCAGGACTTAATCAACCAGATTTGTTACAGTTTAACACAGTCCTGTTTAAAAGGAAAGAGTGACCTGAAACATCGCTGTATGAGCACCTTGGCTTTGCCACCTTTGGCCTTCAGCCTGGGCCACCACGGCCAGACCAGGATGTGCAGGAGAGATGGAAGGAGCCCAGCAAAGGAGGGAACTCACTGAGTTTGTAGGGAATGCATTTGCTTTTCCTCTGCTCAGCTCTGCTCTGCAGGGCTATAACCAAGGCGAGGTTTAGTAGGGCCAGGGATGATCCTTCCCTTTGCCTGATCCCCTTGTACCAGAAAAACAATAAATCCCACAAAAAAATTGGAAAAGCCACGGATTTGGGGTATGTAATGCTGTGTGGTCCATCACTGATGCTGGAAGCTGTGGGAATGTTACTGATGCAGACAGGGATGCTCTCCAGTCCCTGACTGCCTCAGTTTCCCCAGATGTTTTTTTCTTCCCTGCAAACATTGTCCTTTCTTCAGGGAACATGAAAAAGAAGTGCAGAATCGGAAGAGGGGCAAGCGGCCCCGGGGCAGGCCCAGGAAGCACGTGGTGAGTCCTGGCAGTGGTGGGAATCCATGGCTGTGACAGTGCTGTAGGGGCTCTGGCCTTGGAGGGCACGGGAGGGGGGTCTGCCCAAAGCCCAGGAGGGGCTTGGCCTTGAGTGCAGTGAGGGCTCAGCAGTGCCCCCAGCCCCTGGGTCAGGGCGTTGTTGCTGGCAGTGATAGACAGGTTGGTGAGAATGCCTGTGAAAAGAACTCCTCCATCACTGCTCTGGTGATGGTACAGAAGGAGACGGAAGAATTCCCTGGCACTGGTCCAACTTGGTATCTACTGCTGACCAATTCTGTGCTCTGTGCTCCCTAACTCATCAGATCAGCTAACGGATCCCTAAAGATCAGCTGTGTGGAGAAAGAACCTGTGGTGTCTGAGGCCCCTGGCCAGGCTGCCCTGAAGGGTTTGCAATGCCCATGACGGCTCTTTGGCCACTGCCCTTAACTCCCTGTCTCTGTTGCTTTGCAGGAACCAGAAATGCCTGCAAAAACTAAGTCAAGTAGCTCCTCCTCCTCCACATCCTCCTCTTCTTCCTCCTCTGATGAAGAGGATGAAAGTGACCTGGAAGCAAAGAGAGGTCCCCGCAGCAGAGAGACACACCCGGTGCCACAGAAGAAAGCTCAGATCCTGGTGGCGAAGCCTGACATGAAAGACGCTTCCAGGAAGAAGCGTGGGCGGAAACCTCTTCCCCCGGAGCAGAAAGCAGCTCGAAGGACTGTGAACCTGACAAAGGTGCTGAAAACATCCCGGAAGGAGGTGGGGGGCAGTGCCAAGCTGGTGGGGAAGCTGCAGCCTCAGCACAGCACACAGGGCTCGGGCATGGCCGTGCTGAAGGACCCACCAGGTGCCTTGGCTGGGCTCAGCTCAGGAGGGTCATCAGCAGAAAACCTGCCCAACATGATGAAGAGCGGCTCGACGAGCCCCAGCCAGGCCATCAGCTGGCAGAGCTCCATCGTGCACTACATGAACAGGATGTCCCAAAGCCAGACTGCATCTGAGAGCTCAGCTCTGGGCAGGCTGGCACTGAAGGCACAGGCGGCCAGTAAGAGCAGCTTAGGGCTGGACTTGAAAATGAGGAGCCAGAAAGGCTCTGGGGAGCTGGGGCTCAGCATGCAGGGGCCCAAGACTGCAAAGGCTCCCGGCAGTGGTGCTGGAGGAGACCAGAAATCAGGGTTTGCTGCGGGAGGCCAAATGCTGCCCAACGGCAGCAAGACGCCAGCGAGCTCATCTGGGGCCAGCGTCCAGGCAGCCTCCAGCCAGGAGCTGAACCTCCAGGCTCTGAACCTGCAGAGCGTCAAGAATGGGCCGAGCGTGGCCGGCGGGAGCAGCCTCCCCCGGCACCTCTGCGGAGCCCTGGCCAAGGGCTCCGGCGGCGGCACGGCCAGCGGGGGTGCCGGCGGTGCCAAGGGCGGGGCGGCGGGCACCGGGCTCACCAGTGCCGGTGCGCTGGCGGGGGGGGATGGCAGCAAGAGCAAGAAGCAGCCGCACCGGGCAGGGGACAGGGACTTGGCCAAAGGTGGCTCAGCCGGCACACAGGAGGGACACGCGGAGAGCCGCAAGCCCTCTGCCCTGTCCGAAGTGAGCACGGGCGAGGACACCAGCTCGGATTCAGACCGGGACTCGGCTTCCTTCCCGGGTGTGGGTCAGAACATGTCTGTCTCCATCCAGACCAGCCAGGACTGGAAACCCACGCGCAGCCTGATCGAGCACGTCTTTGTCACCGATGTCACCGCTAACCTGATCACAGTGACGGTCAAGGAGTCCCCCACCAGCGTCGGGTTTTTCAACCTGCGGCAGTACTGAGCCCAGGAGTGTGAGAGAAGGGAGAGGGTCCTTCAGCCTCACCCTCGGCTTTGCCCAGCTCTTCCATCAGGTTTTCTTTCTTCAAGTGAATGTGGAGACCTCGTGAGACCTGCTGGGACTCGTAGCTGGAGAGGCTTGAGAAAGACGTGGTGAAACCTGCTCCAAACTGCCAGCGAGTCGTGGATCCCCCCGGCTCCTCTCCATCCTTTTCTGAAGCCGTGCCCTGTGTGGGGGTAGCCAATGCCATTCTCCAGGAGCCAGGACACTGGTGCTGCTGGGGGTGTCAGGCTGGCAAGTTTCGAGCCAGGCTTCACTGCACACAGGTCTCTTTGCTTTACAGCTTGAAACAGCAGATGCCAAGGTCCGCAGCTCACTGACCACGGGGAGGTGTGGAGCTGCCATGGGCCAGGCTTCCACCTGGGAGAGGACTAGGAGATCCTCTTCTGTTCTCTGGGCTCCCCATGGATCTATCTGTGAGCTGTGGGGAGACACAAGTCAATCCAAATGAGGCAGCTGCTGCTCCCAGCCCTTGGGGCTGTGGGGGGGTGGCTGCATTTGGGGGTTTTTCAGGGTACACTCAGCCCAGCCACCCCCCTGGGCGAGGTCATTTCCAATGATGGGAAACCCACGACGTTTTCGTTGGGGTTTCCAGCTGGTAGGGAACTATTGTTTACATTTTTTATTAAGGAATTTTTTTTTTTATTTTTTTTTTTTATGAGAGAGGGAAATAAACCCAGTCTAGGATAGGTTGAGTCCTGGATGCCACTAATGGGATGGGCAGCAGAGGTGCTTTTTTGGAGGGTGCCTCCTTTCTGCCCAGGGAGGATCCTGCCTTGGGAGCCAGAGAGATCCACTGGTTTCCCTGCAGTGACTTGACTTCCAGAGGAAAGTGAATTTCTGAGTAGCCCAGGGAGCCTCTGTGCCACTGCTCTGCCTCATCCCAGCATCACCATTGTCTCTGTCTCCTGCTCAGCAGTTTCCAGGCACTCATAGGCCCCGAGCTGGGGAATATTTTTAAAGTCTTGCAGAACATGCAAACCCTTCCAGCAGCAGGTAGGTCAGTGCTGGGGCTGCTGGGCATCTGCGAGGTTGATGCTGTAATTTGGGACAGGTGAGCCTTCCCCACCATAGCCCAGCTGGACCTGCCTTGGCTGCTCCCTGGGTTAGATTCACACTGATCATCCATGTTTTTGTTCAGATGGAAGGCTCGGAAGCTGGACAAGGACACCTGCACAGGTGGGGTGGAGCAGTGGGAAGGGGAAGGAGAGGACAGGGAGAAGGATCAGGGCCAGGGGGTACCTTGACCGTTGTTCTCTGAGGATCTGGAGCCCTCAGCAGCTGCTCGCCTTCCCTCTACTGTCCCAGCAGCTGGGATGTTCCTTTTGGCTTGGAATTGCACCCAATAATGGCTTTTTCACTGCAGTATTTTCCCTACTGCAGATTTCTACAAGCAAAAATTAGCAGCGGTTCAGGCAGAGTTTAGTAGCATTCGAGGTCATTTTAGTTCTGTTGGTGCTGAGTTCTTTTCTTGGAGGTGATGAACAGCTGGTGGCTGCTCGCTGTCCTGCGTGGTTTGGAGGTCCCCCCAAAGGGATGCCCCACCAGGGGGTCACCAGGAGACTGACCTGGCACCAGGACAGGCATCTCTCTTTGCCACAGGCAGGGCCACTCACAGTGTCCTCACACAGGAGTGATACATGGACCAAACTGGGGGTACAGGCACTTCTGACCCCCACCCCCGACACAGCACCCCCCCCACCATCACAACTGCTGCCACTGCCTGGCAGCGGGGCCGTTCTCAGGTGAAGGAAACCCTGCCCGTGCTGCCTGCTGGTCAGGGATGGCTGGATTGCTGTTCCCTGAGCGGCGGCTGCAGGCTCTGCCTGGGCAGAAATGCTCCAGAAATGCTCTCCCTCCGCTTTCAGATTTAATCCCCAGCTGTCCTGTGGGTTGTGGTTTGAGTTTTGTGTTGTGTAGCTGAGCATGGTGTGATGTGGGGTGGGTGGAGGCGGATGGTGCCTCACTGCAGAACCTGTACAGGTTTCTCAGGCAGCCCCAGCTCTGCCTCAGCACAGCCTGGAATGTCCCCTGGACAGCCTGGGGCAGGGGACACACGGCCCCCAGCACCACACTGTGTGTTGTTCTGTGAGGGAAGGGGCTGAGGGGAGAGAAGGGAACATTGGCCATGGAAGAGGTTCCCAAGGACAGTTTCTGTCAAGCTCCACGATGCCAAAATGTCACAGTCTGTCCTGGTTTACCTTCTAGTCTTTTACTTTGCCAAACGACCTCCAAAGAACTTTGTCCTGTGTCAACAGAAACCAGTGTCCTAGGCATGGTCTGTACTGGGCTCTTGTGCTGGGGATAGGAGTGTTCTGGGAGTAGAATCAAGGAATCTGGGAGTGCAGGGGTGACACTCTGCCCCACACACCAAATGTTTGCTACTTGGCCTTTGCAAATCCAAACTGATCAATGATGTGCCTTTTGGACCGTCCTTATCTCAGCCTTGTCTGCGACACCGGTCCCACGACAGGTTTGTGCCTATGCAAAGCGGGGTGGCTGCAGGGTCCCAGGGCCACTGTGACACCCGTGGGGAGAGGTGTCCTGGTCCCCAGTGAGACACGGGGCTGTCACACAGAGCCCTGCTGAGGGGTGCCCGCAGAGGGGAAGCCGGCCCAGCAGGGATGCTCTTGCCTGCAGCAATAGGATGTGGAGATTGGTTTCCCCAAGGGGGAGAAGACATCTGAGGAGGCCCCAAGCAGCTATGAGAGGGCAGGAGATGAGCTGTGAGAGCGGGTGCTGTGCTGGCTGCACGCCAGCTCTGAGCTTGCTGCTCCCTCCAGAGCCCTCATCAAAGCTCCCACGTGTTTCTCCATGTGGGGGGGCTTGCTCCTGCCTCCTGACTGGACAAAAAGTCACTGGGCCTGAGCTTCTGCCCAGGGGTATCCTGACAGCAACCCTCCATCACCCACCCTTCCCAGGTAGGTCCCCTTCCAGCAGCGTGGGACTCTGCTGTGATCACTTGCTATTGTGCCTTTTGCTGACCAGCTGGTTTGATTCCAAAGGTCTAAGGATGGTGAAAATGATAATCCAGGATTTTTTCTGACCTTCAACTCCCCGCATGTTTCTTCCCTAACCCCTTCCTGAGCTGGTGTTCCAGGTTCTCCCAGCAGTGCTGGGGTGTCTGAGCACACGGTTCCCATTGGAGTTTGCCTCCCAAAGGCACATCATGTGAGTGATTTATTGGAATCTTTTGTGGACAGGGGTTGGAAGCTGGTGCAGACCCTGGTTTGCACCAGGGTCCATTAGGATTCAAGGTGTACTTTTTTTTTCCCCCCCCTTTTTTTTGAGTTTGCTGCTATGGGTTGGTGTGTTCAGCCAGGTATCAGACAGGCAATTGCAGGTTTGTCACTTGTCATTTTCTAAGGGGTTTCCGATGTGGAAAGTCCTGCAGTATTTGTATACTGAATGGATATTTTCTCCAGGCGTAATCTGGTTAAGCATCCTTGTTGTTTTCCATTGGACTGGAAGAGGTGGCTGATTCAGCCATCTTCCTGAGAAACTGATTCTATTTTTATATATATATTTTGTACCAAAAAAATACCTGGAGTTCATGGAGAGATGGAGATAGTTTAGGGGTTTGGTTTGTGTTGAGTTTCTGCGCTGGTGTGTGCCTGAGTGTGAAGGGCTCCAGAGCCAGGAGAAGGGGTTTACTGGCAGAAATTGAGGAATGGGTGAAAACAAACAATTGTTCTTGTAACTTGTGCCAGTCACTGCTCTGATTTGTACGTTTTAGTTAAAGAGAGAGCCAAATCGGTCCTGTATGACACTTATAATTGCTTTAAACTGCAGCTGTTTGTTTGCTTTTATTTTCCAAGAACAAAAGTCGGAGATGTTATTGCCCTGGGAAAGCATGAGGGCTGTGGGAGCAGGGCCGGGTGCTGGTCCTGCTCCCCCCCAGCCTCCCGGCCCCTCCTGGCCCCTCGCTTGCGTTCCCTGTGCTGTTTTCCAGTGTTCCTGGACGCTAACGCTAGTGTAGCCCCCAGCTCTAGGCTGCTTTTAATTTATTTGCAGGAAAACACTAGGAGATGGTTACGTCGGGTGGGGACTTTCGTGTAACTTTTCCACTGTTCTTTTTTAGCATATCAATAAATATTTTTTTAAACTTTTCAGCCTCGTGTGGTCACTGCTCTGGGAGCGCCCCCGCCCCCCTCCCCGGGCATCGCCTGAGGCCACCCCGTCCCCGGGGCACCGTGTGCCCGGCCGGGGCTGCCGCCGGGCCGGGATGGGGATGTGCGAGGCGGGGGGGTACAGGAGCCGGGGAACCGGAGCGGGGGAACGCCCCTTACTTCCCTCCGGGGGTCCGGGCAGGACGCGGCCCCTCCTGGCCGCAGGCTCCCCGGCTGGAGCTGCGTCTGCACCGGCGGGCAGCTCACGGTCAGGTGCTTCTGACCGTTCCACCGGGACCGGGACCCGCCGGGGTTGGCGGGACGCGCCGGGCCGGCCTGGCCCACGGAGGGCGCTGCGCGGCCGCGGAAGGGCGCGGGCGGCGGCCCCGGGGCTCCGCCGTCGGGATTGCCGTCGGGCGGGAGCCGAGCCCCGGCAGCCGAACGCCCCCCGCCCCGTCCCAGCCCCCGCCCCCACGCCCACCCCGCGGGGCCCCGCGGTCCGTGTGAACGGGCCCCCCCGCCGGGCCGGGGGAGAAAGGCGCCATTGTGCGGCCCTTCCTCCCGCTCCTCCGCGGCGCTGGCAGCTCCCGCGGCGCGGGGTCCGCGCCCCACCCGCCCGAGCAGAAAAAGGAGGTTAATGAGGACACGGCTTAAAAAACCCACCAAACCCCCCGCCCCGCGCTCCCCCTCGCCTCCGCGGCCGGGGCGGGTTTGCACACAAAGGCCGAGCTCGCCGGGCAGGGGCCGCCGCACCCCGACCCGTACCCCCGCCCGCCCCGTCGGAAGGGCAGAGCGCCGCGGCACCGGGCAGCGCCGGGGCCCGGCCCGGTACCGAAGCGGCGGCCCCGGCGCCGTTCCTCGGACGGGAATCACTCACGGCTCCCGCCACCACCCCGTCCGGGCAGCGCAGGACCTCCGGGGGGACGCCCGGCCCGGTGTCACTTGCGTCCGGGGGCGCCCCCGACTCCCCCCGTCCCTTCGGGTCCCGGCCCCAGGCCCTTACAACCACGATTCCTTGTATGGAGGGAGGATACAGGGCCACCCGTCCCGTCGGCGCCCCAGCACACACCACACGGTGTTCCCGGGCACCCCCCGGCCACACAGACCCCCCTCGCCCCGGGACCACAAAGGGAAGCCAGACACGTTTCTATTTACAAAGTATATATTTAAACTGACATAAAAAGCAGGTCTCAAATGGACATTCACGGCTGGCAGAAGACACGTAGTTAAGCTTCACTTCTGAGACTGAGATTTAGCCAAATCGTTTTTGTACAAGTCTTAGATTTAAATAATTCCCACGCGCACACCCGCACACACACACACGCAGGATACACGTCGCTATGTACAGACACACATATACACCCACAGGTACGGTTTGCTCCAGGTGTGTCGGGACACACACGGACACGGGGCTGGAGCGAAGCCCCGACAGGGCAGGAGCGGCTCCAGGCTCTTTGCAAAGGGAAGGATCCTCCGGCTTTGGGGGCAGCGGGAGGACAGACAGCTCAACCCCCTCATCCTCCTCCAACACCACCCGTGTCCCATGTCGGCGCTGGCACCGGGACCAGCACCTCGCTTCCTCGTACAAACCAAGTTAAAAATCTCAATTTTACAAAAATATGCCTCCAAAAAAAAAAAAAAATAAAAAGGAAAAGCAAACTGAATTCTCAGACACCATGGCTCCCTTTGCACAGCCAATCCAGCATCCTCCTACCAGGCAGCTCATGGGTTCCGAAAGGATGGGGAAGGGGACTGGACAAGGTGGAGCTGCCGATGGGCCCCACAGTGAAGGGGTGCCCCTTGCCCAGCCCCTTCCCCACTCTCAGGCTCCCTGGTGGTCACTCCCTGTGAGCCCCCTGAGTCAGGAGCCTTCAGGAGCCCAGGGACAAGGGGAACCTGGCCCAGTTCAGCCCTCAGGCACTGCCAGGTTTGCGCTTCCCATCTGACTGATGCCCAGAGCAAGGTGTTGGGACAGGGCCACCTGCTCCATCTCAGCCAAACCACAACCCGGGCAGGGTCCCACTCTCCCCTCTGTGCCACGCTGTGGCTGAGCTGGGGGAGCAACCCCCACCAGCAGGGAAACTGCTGCACCTCCTCCAGGGCCATGAGACCCTCCCTGCCCCAGCCGGGGAAGAATCCCAGTTCTGGGAGGAATCCCACAGGCAAATCCGGCAAAAAATCCATCCAAGCCGGCGGGGCTGCTCCACACGGGAATATTTTGCCTCTTGGCTACTGTTTAACCAGCATAAGGAAAGGGAAATATTTATTGTCTCTGACTGCATAAAGGTGGCTCTGGGATTTGTCAGGGATGTGGGTATTACAAAACACTTTATCAGGAGTCTTCCAACAGTCTGAAGTAAACTGTGATTGAGAATAAAAATAATAATAATCCACTTTCTATAGCAGAATAAAGTAACTAAATATGGGCAGTGAGATGCTCCCTCCCCAACCTCTCTGGCATTTCAGGAATGTAAACAGAGGGGGGTTTTGTTGGGGTTTTTTTGTTTTTAGTGGGTGGGGGAACAGAATCAAGCGACCAGACAAAATGAAAACAGATTCTCAGCTCAGTCCCATCTCCCACAGCTGCTACGACAACTCTATTAAAGTGCATTTCAGTATCACCCCTCAGGAACCTTACACACACAGACCTCCTCTCCTCTGCAAGAAAAGGGAATTCAAGTTAATACTCCAATACTTTTAGCCTTTTTATGGATTTCTGCTTTTCCCCGCCCCGACTTTGTAGCGACATTACTTTTTTTGTTAGACTGGAAACGCCCCATCCCCAACAACACTGTGAATTCAAGTGCTCACGTCAACTGTCAAGGGCAACAGTTCTGGACACAGCACACTTGATTGTACAAGCAACACCTTAAATCACAATCAAGAAATCCGGGCACTTCGCCCTCCGAGGGAGCAACACGTCCCCCTCCACCATCCATAGCATCATATGAAAAATAATAGTTAAAAAAACCCAGCACATACTTAGCTATGAACACCGTTATGTACACCGGCTCCTGCGGCAGATGCGTGAACTCGTTAGTTCTCAGTTTTATTGTCCTTTCTAGGAGCAACTGAGCAGTCACTGTTGTCTCCATTTAAATAAAACAACTCAGAGTTGAAATATATATATAGATATATATATAAGCATTTTTTCTTAAATAACATATTTACATCTAATAGAAAATATAACTCTAGAGATAATCTTTCCAACGAAATGTAAGACGTGAAAAAAAAAAAAACCCAAACAAAAACAAAAGAATGAGTTAATGAATTTAGGACAGTTTCTAAATTCTCTCCAGGACCAAAAACAAAAGAAAAAAAAAAAAGGAAAAAAAATTTTAAAGGAAAAAAAAGAATAAAAAAAAAAAAGAAGAGAGGCCCACCAAGCTCTAACCAAGCTTTTGTCTGGATCTGACTGAAGAAAACCCCAGCACCACCTCCACCAAACTCATCGCTTCTCCTTAAAGAATCCTTGGTCCGTGCTGCTCTCCTTGATGGTGACGGTCAAAAAGTTAGAGGTCACATCAGTTACCACCACCTTCTCCAGGTTGTTGAGAGAGGGGCTCCAGGACTCCTCCTCGGGGTCCCCCAGGATCCTGGAGACGGGGATCCTGGCGATGAGGGAGGGCCGCCCCGCCGGGCCCCCCACGCCGTCGCGGTACAGGCTGCCCACGCTGCCCGGGCTCACCGCGCCGTGCAGGAGCTTGGGCCCGCCGGGGTCCAGCCCCCCCTGCCCCTTGGGGTCCAGAAAGTCCGCGCGGTGCTTGGCCAGGCGCGGGGGGAAGGTCTCGGCGCCCGCCTCGGCGCGGTTGGGGCCGGGCAGGGCGCCGGGCAGGTCGGGCTCCTGCCGCCGGGCCAGCTGGATCACGCTGTGTCCCGAGCCAAACTTGGCCGCCCCCGTCGCCGCCTCCTCCATCTTCCTGGCCTTCAGGTAGTCCCCCACCTTGTCCCCCGGGTCCCCCAGTTTCCTCTTGGAGGCATCCAGAGTTTCCGCCAGGTCCTTGTAAAGCTCCTTCCTGGGCTTCGGGCCTCTCTTTTTGGGGGTCTCCCCGGGTTTCTCCTCCACACGGATCACCCGGTCCCGGATGCTGTCTCCCTTGGGGGTGCTGGTGCTGGAACTGCCCTGGGGGGCCAGGGCTATGTTTCTCAGTCCTTCCCTAGCCCGGGACGTGGAGCCCAGCTCCTGGGGGGACCTGCCGGGATACGGCACCCGGATCCCCCTGGAAGAGTCACTGCGGAATTCATAGGTTTTGGCTTTGGCTTTTGCCTGGGCCTGCAAAGAAGATAAATCACCCGGTGACTTTATTATCCTGCCATCCGGCTGCATAATTACAACTTACAAGAGGCCACCTCTGAGGGGAGCATCCTCCAAAGGGGCCAGAAAGAGCCCCTCGCTGTGGCACGCAGCCCTCACGTGTGTGCTCCGTTCCCCTTACCTTTAGCAGGAAGGTTTTGGGCTTGGGGCCTCGCTTTTTGGGCCCATAAAGTTCCATTTCTCGCTCCCTAGAGGTGTTAAAAGAACCAAAGCTTCAATTCAGCATAGCTACAAGACAGCAACATATTTACAAGCACAACTGCTACAGCTCGTAAAGGCCTTGTACCTCTCCTCGAAGGCTGCGAGCAGCCGGGCATCCAGGATGTTTTCCTCGGGTTCCCAAGTGCTGTACCTGGGGGGGCATGGAGAGAGAGGAGAGCGTGAGCAGAGCCAGCAAAGGACAAAATAAATAAAATAAAAAAATAGGGGCATAAAAGGAGGGACCCAGTTTGCATTCTGGCACAAAGGGGGAGTGGGGGTGCAGCCAGCATCCCCCCGGCCCCTGCTGCAGACCCCCCGGCCCCAAGGGCGACTTACTTCTGCGACCAGCCCTTCCATTTGACCAGATATTCCATGCGGCCCTGCGGATGGGAAGCGAGGAAAATAAATATGCGCGGAGCGAAAACCGCGATAAAACCGCCCCGCAACAAAGGTCCCCCCGCAACGCCCCACGCATGGAGAGGAA